TAGCCCAGGCAACAGACCGAGACCCTATCTCAAAACAAACAAAAAACAGAAAAGAAAAAATGGGGGAACAGATGGATTAAGTAACTTGCCCCAGGCTACAGGGCTGGATCCAGGCTGTGAACCTGTCTGTATCCAGGGCCTTGCTCTTAACCTCATAGGAAAGGAGGAGAGACAGATTTGGATCTTTCTTTCACTTTCTTCCTTGCAGAGTGGATGTGGCTATGAAACGTGGTGATGGCAGCCACCTGTTGCCGTCTGGCCCAGCCATCAAAGGTCTGGCCCCTGGGAGAAGAGTCAGCTCCAGGCTCAGTGCTTTCTCTCTCATTTCAACTAAGCTTGTGGCCTGAGGACATTCAACGAGGAACCTGAATAAAATAACTCATCCAAGATTTCTAAGCTGATAAATAAATAAAGTGAGAATAGTTTGAGAGCTGCAGGAACTTTGCCTCCCAGCCACATTTTTCTTAGTTTCTCTGTCAAGGGAAACATGGGCATTTTATCTAACAAATGTAAACAGCCAGTATGAAAATACAAATAAGTAAAATAGCTTTATTACTGAGTAATCTGTCTTTTTTGATATGTAGTTTTAATAAGTTTTATTAACTATTGAACAATACAAAGGAACATTTTAAAAATGTATATTAAATTATGAAGAACAGCAGCAGTATAACCCATCACCCAGTTTAATGAAGAAAAACGTTGTCATCACCCAGAAGCCCCCCATGTTCCCCCACCAGTCACATCCTCCCCCTTCACATCCCCCTTCCTCCCCTCATATCACCACCTCCCTGAGTTTTGTGATAACTGCGTTACTTTTCTTGACAGCGTTACTGCCTACACATGCATCAAGAATGATATGATTTAATTTAGCCTGGTTTTGAACTTTATATAAATGGAATAATACTGCATTATTTTGTGACTTGCTCCTTTAACACAACATTATTTGTGAGATTTGTCCATGTCATTACCTGTAGCTGTAGTTCCTTTAGTTTTTATTGCAGTGTATTCCATTATAATAATATACCACAATTTATTTATCCATTCCGTTACTGATGGACATTTCGGTTGTTTCTACTTATTGGCAGTTAAGAACATGCTTCCATGAGCATTCTTTTTGTTTTTCTATGAGCATTTTTGACCTCTACCTTGGTGAACATGTGCCAGTGGTTCTTTTGTAGAAAAAAGTAGGAGGGGAATTGCAGTGCTGTAGGCTGTGTTCATCTTCAACTTGATCCGGTAACACCAAGCCATTTTCTAAAGTGGCTCCTGTTTACTTTCTTACCAGCTGCACATGAAAAGTACTGGGGCTCCACTTCCTCACCCACACTTGGGATTGTCATATGTTTCTATTTTTGTCATTGGGGGTTGGAGAAGGAGAAGGGGGAAGAGTAATAGTGTCTCATGTGGTTTTAATTTGCATTTCCTCGATTACTAATGAGGTTGAGCATCTTTTTTTCTTTGGTGCCATTTGGATTTTTTCTTTTATAAAATGTCTATTCAAGTATATTCCCGTTGGGTTCTCTGCCTTTTTCTTGCTGATTTTAGGAGTTACTGGTGGGTACAAGTGTGGCAGATATTCTCTCCTACCCTGTGGATGGTCTATGATGACTTTTGGTGAAAAGAAGATATTTATTTTAATGATACAGAATTTGTTTAATTTTTCTTTAATACTTAATGGTTTCTGTGTCTTGGTAAAGAAAATCTTTCTGTACCCCAAAGTCATGCTTGTTGAAAAGGTGGTAGTCAGTCTAATCATCATTCTTTTCTATAAAATACGGATAATCTGTGTTTTCTCTTTGGTGGCTCTTTGTCTTTGGTCTTAATATAGTATTAATGTCTCCCTATGGATTTATTCTTAGTTATCCTGTTAGAGACGCCTTGGAATTTCTAATCTGACAAGTAAAATCTTTCATAAATTCTGGTAAATTCTCAGCCAGCATTTTTTCAAATATTGCCCCTCGCCCATTTTCTCTCTCCTCCCCTTAGGAACTCAGCTATCTGTGAGACCACCTCACTCTGTCCTCGGTGTGTTTTCATCTCTCTTTCATATATTCATCTTTTTGTCTATGCTGTCCATTCAACTTTGTGTTTACAGTAGTGTGTTTTTTTTTCTTCTCTGGAAGTTCATTTATTAATAGTTCTTTTTCAATTCTACATGTTCCTTTTTTACATTTTTAATTTCTTATTTCCTTAGACATAGTAAACATAATTATATTTTCTGCTTAATAATTCTAGTGTCTGAATTCTTTGCAGGTCTGATTCTGTCTGTTCTGCCCCCCAACCTCCTCTCCACCCTTTGCTGGCTCTTGTTCATGGTAACTTGATTTCTTAATGTATTTTGTGATTTATTAATTTACGATTTCTTTTTTAACCATGTGCTTATCAACTTATGAACACTCTGTCTGAGAGGCTGGTTTGAAGATATCTTTCTCCAGAAAGGATTAGTATTTGCTTTTTCCAGGTGCCTGAGGCCACTACTAACCTAGCAATGCTTCGACTAAAGTCTCAGGCTGGAGGTTTTTTAGACCACACAAGTAGTTTTAGCTGCAAACCCCTGTAGGAGACAATCTGTGGTTATTAATTCTCAGGAGGTATATTTTTCCTTCCACCCTGCACCTAAGCCTAAGGCAGTTTTCTTTGCTATCTCTAGCTTGAGGGCGGGGCGTACTCCTCATTTATCCTTAGCCTTTGGGAGTTCTTGCTTTCTGTATCAGATCTTCTGTTCTATTTCCCATTGAGTAGGTTCTTTCTCTTTGCCTTCTTTACAAGAGGTTTCAAAAACTTACACTCACAAGTCTCTGCTTTGTTCTAAATCCTCAGTGTGAAAATCACGTTGTGTGCT